TGTGCCCATCCCTTGGATTTCAAGTGTGCCCATCCCTTGGGGAAGATGTTTTTTAGAAGGAATTCATCACCTTTTTAAAAATATTCTCCTTGACCCTTTAATCTCCCGGCAATTCCCATAAGAGCAAACTGCATTCCTACAGCTTGAGCAAGTCAAATCGATCAGCATTCTGTCTGTCCAACACCTATTCATTTTTCAAGAGTTAGATCAAGATTTTCTATGTGAAGTCTTTGGTCTTACCTAGGTTCACCCTCCTACCCAGAACAATAACAACAAAAATAATCAACTGCTTATTTATCTGTGCTAATATAGCACCTTGTACATTCAAAATACGTAGCCAAAATATTTAATCAACTTTTCATCTTTGCATGCCTTTTCTTCTTCCATCCTGCCTGTGGGGGCTGGGCCTAGAAGAAAGGATGGCTGGATGGAAAGAACGTGAGCGGGGTGAATGAAGGGTCAGGTGAAAACATCTGCCTGAAGCTGCGTGTTTGCTGCGTGCAAAGGTCAGCTGGAAGTTGTTAAAGAAATTAGCAAACGGCCCTGACCCTTTCCACGTGTCCTTGGAAATAAATATGGGGAGAAACTTAGCTGAGGAGGCCATTTTCTCCTTCAGACGTTGGCTGCTTCCCTTCTCTCTAAACGCTACGTGTTTCGGGTAATTATTCATGCCTTCGCTACCGAGCTCAGGAGTGAAAAGCAGCCGCTACACCTACCAAGAAACCTGAGGTAGATATTTCTATTATCTTCTTTTTGCATGAAAAAACTGAAGATTAAAAAGTTTGTTATTTGCCCAAGGTCACAGAGCCAGTAATTGTTGGCCGTGGGATTCAAGCTCAGTCTGATTGAAAACATTCAGCTTTTTTTTCAAAATATTAAGGGGGACATTCAGCTTTTGACCGCTGCAGAATACTGCTTCTGACACCACATTACACTGATTCCCTCAGTCCGATCATTACAGCACTTGCTACTTATGTGCCAGGCAGTGAGCTAAGGGCTTTTTAAATCCTCCCCATAATCCTGAAAGATAGATGTTATTTTCTTATTTTGCAGATTAAAACACTGAGGTTTGAGTAAAGTAACACCAATTCTCACGGCTAGCAATTAGCAGCATTCAGCCCATGCTATTTTTTCTTAACTTGCAGACTGAGTTTCATTCATTTGTGTATCACAGATACCTATCATGACCCTTGGCACCTGACACATAGTCTATATCTGTTTGTCAGGTTAATTCATTTTATCATGATTCTTCCATCCTCCTTCGTCCATTTCACTTATATTCATTCTTTTACTCTCAGTTGGGTCAACACTTCCCTAACGTATTGTCTAGGCCTGATCCTCTTGTCGTGAGTTCTTGTAGTACACATATCTTTCTTTTGTAGACCTTATCACAGTGGTGGTTTTAAATTTAATTATATAATCACATAATTATACATGTGCATCTAGACTCTCAGCTTCACTGAATTAGAAGCTCTATGTAAATAAGAATCATGTCAATGTTAATTCATCACTGTATTTCTAATGGCTTTCATCACGTATTTGCTCAATAAAATGCTTGATGATTGATTAATTGATAACTATTCTTTGAACCCAGAGGGAGACAAGAGCTTTGTCGTCCCACTTCGCACAAAAGGTGCCAACAGCATAGTTTACAATTCAAGCTTTCTAAATAAACCCTCTCTCTAAAGTAAAAGGACTGTAGGATTATTAATTAAAATACTTTTGTCTCCTATATGAAAAGAATTTCTTCCATAAGTCCATTTTTTTCATATTATGTTGT